TTCCGCGCCCACCGAGCATTGCTATTAATGTACCAGAGATTTATATTCAGTTTTTTTGTGAGGCGATTTATATTAATAAATGTACTATCGTTCACGTATGTTTATTTCGATTCTTTCGTTACATGATACTTATTTATAGTGAGTTAGATTGGGTCATCGTTACGCATGAATCTGCTACGTATTTGCGTCAACATCTACACTGTATCAATTTTGCAAGAAACAATTCTTCTGGAAACATTATGTAATTTTAGACGTGTTATGATGTATTACACGCATATAAGCACTATTTTTGTTATATGGGGATTGTGTGAGCGCGTAATATCATTATTGGTAAGTGGTCGTTTCCGATGTTGCGCATCCTCCACCTCACGACTTTGAAAAATTCGTGCGTATTTATAAAAAGCGTTAAGATATAATAGAGTACAAATGTCAAAATTTTATTTTGAAATGTATCGAGATATTAGAAAAATCCGGTTTGTCAGAAATATATGCATTATGTATACATATCCACACTAACGTCACATTTAGACAGGTCCAACCTTTGTAAATCAGGTACATCTGGAATTTATTTGGCTGTCACCATAGGAAACACACGATAGTTCGAGGAACGATAGAAGCGGGAAAATGTAACATTATTTTATATGGGATGTATCCGGGACCGAACAAAACGGACGATGCATGCGGGAAAACGATAGTTCGGGGAACGATGGATAGAGGTTTCGCTGTATTACTCTTTTCATGTACTCATAGATATCGTGTCTTAATTTGCAGAAGAGATACATTAACAGACTAATTCACATGCATCACTAGAAATGCAACAGTTGATTTATTAAAGAGCTCAATAATTCACTTCTGTTAAAATAGGATTTTCTCTGATGTAACTATTATGGCAACATGACTCAATACATAACACTTAGTTGCCAACACACTGATGGACACAGCAATAATAATTCCTGTGATGTGTATGTCCTGTAGGTGCCATAGCCCTCCTAGTGTCCGAGCCCTTTTAGGCAGGGGTTGTTAAATAAACTACAAATAAATATATACACTTACAGCTGTTGTTTACGTGGTTTTTTACGAGGGCTCATCTCAACTGGAGGTCTCTCTCCTTCTTCTACTGGTTCTTGTTTTATTGGTGGCAATGAATCATCTCCGGCTTCACCCAGCCCTGGAGATGAAGTAGCTGAAATGGTAGTAGAGCCACCAGAAGAATTGCCTCCATTGCCACGGGAATCAGGACGTCGTGGTGATGGAGGAGAGACTGGGGCACCACTGCTTAGAGCTGCTAAAACTGGAGCCAGATTCTTCTGTGCCTTCAAAGGTGAGCTAAGAAACAAGTCTATGTCTTACAATGCAATGCAACATATATCATTATACTATATACAGAGTAAGATTCAATCAGAATACAAGCACAGTATGTCTCATAAACTGCACAGTAACATTAGTAAAACATTACTAGAATTACATGAAGGATAACAACACCAGTGTAAGGGGCAGGACAAGTAAAACAAAAGGAACTGGTGCCTGAAGCTCATTCCACTTCCACAGACTCCTGGTGAATGAACAGCTCTCTTAGAAACCCCCACAGCAATATGTATTCTGAATACCTTCAGATTTCCTAACATTATGTCTATGGCATTTTCAAATAAATAAATACATTAAATTGTATAAGAAAAACCAAATATAAATGCAGAAAAACAGCCAACTAATAAATATAAAGACTCTGGGAAAAGTTTTAGAATATGAAGATGATGATGAGAGAAAAAAAGTAAATCTTACAGCAGTTTTTCCAATAAAATAGCTCAAAGAAAACTAAGCAAAGAATGTGATATCATGTAACACAAAATTAGAAACAGTTAAAGAAGATGAAGTTAAGGGTAAGTAAAATGATAAATAACCTTTAAAATGGATCTTTACAAAATTAGTACAACTTACAATGTCAAATCAGATAAATGAAAAATCAAAGGAGCGCACATTAAATGATTTGCAAAATGTACATGAATATGTGAACAAGGTATGTGTATCTATATTGCATTAGGATCCTCTGAAGATGGCATTTCAACCAAATAAAAGCCTACAAAAACCTGCTGACTCCAAAAGACAACAGCCATTTATCAGAAATAGAAAAGCAAAGAATTCTTATCACCGTTTCCCAACATTTAACATTCAACTACTGATAACAAGACATGCAGCTAAACTCACTCACCCATCATTGTCCCTCTTACGTAATATGCTGGGTCTAGGTGAGGCATTGGGCTTTGAAGTAGGCTGCATCTGGTTACTTTGCCCCAGGACCGATCCTTCTGTCTGAACCAAAGTTCCTACAAACCCATATGCATATAAACAGTTTACAAATACTATAGGAAAGGCATAAATAGTCAAAGAAATGAAATGGTGCTAAGCAGTCTGGGTAAATTATGAATTTCTGTTGGTACTCAAGCCTATATTAAATTTCATACACTGTTAATTAACTGAAAACTTGAAAGCAATGAGATGTATTTGTATACAATCAGTACAGACAAACTACAGCATAATGAATTATTAAGTACAAATATTACTGTCAACCGTGCAAGACAACATGGGTCCCTTGTGATCACAGAATTGCACTTCCTCAGATTGTGCATGTTGGTGATGGTCTAGAGATATGGAGCGTGGTTGTGAATATGTTGCACAAGCAGTAGTAGGCAGCTATAAAACTCCAACTTAGAGGCTGGGAGAGGAACTCAACATGAGAAACTAGCATTTACAAAATATCACATTGGGCCTTGTCCTTTGACAGATTCTTCGGTGCAACCTAGACAATAGAAAAATAGATCTTAAAGAAATAGGGCGTGATGTAGATTAGATTCAGCTGGGTCCAGTGATAGACTGTTGAGAGCCCCTGTGTTAAAAAAAATTAACATCTATGAGAATGACTATCAACTTCTAAAAATAACTCTGCTCCACGGATTAGTTAGTGGAGATACGTCAGTTGTGATTCTCTCCTGCTTGAGTAGAAAAATATTCAAATTCCATGACACTATAAATATTTATTATTTGAGTGATCATAAATATTTTCTAAAGGAAAACATTTTGTAGATGTTTATCAAAATCTCCATAAAACTGAACTTTGTAATAGAATAACAAAATATTTATGTGGACAGCCAGAGAATAAATTGAGAAAAATCCATAAAATTGAAAATGTTGTTCCTGACTTTATTGTACTTATACTTCTGTCCACAGCACTGTTTTAATTTGCTTACCTTCAGTTACAAAGGATGAGTGAACAGGCACAGATGTTCTGGCTGAATCAACAACCATAACAGGGTTGAACCTTACTGGTTGGGTTCCAGTCACAATACCTGCAGCAACAAAATATATTGCAAATTTATTGCAGGGAAGGGGGGAAACACAAACAAACAATCATTCGACTAAAACTATACTCTACAACCCACTCGATATATGGACATTACTTTTAAAGCAATTTTAAGGATTTCAACAAAGCCAAAACATAAACTGAAAATAAAACTTTGCTGACTGAATCCACACCCAATTCACACAAATTGTTACAGATATTAATGTCCTCAATATTTTCCTCTACATTTCATCAATTGTAGGTAAAAATATCTTTCAGATATTTTTAATTCACGATCTCAGAGACTGTGTTTCATAATCACACAAAACAAGTGATAAAACTATCAGGGATTATATGGAATTATAATGGTTTTAAACTGAATAATTACAAGCATTTCCTGAAAGTATTCTCCTCTTACTTTAATCTGAAACCACATTTTTGCCATGCTGATCCCAGATATTTAAGTTCTGAAACATTTTCAAATAATTTTTATTACTTTTACTGTTATTCATTTACAGATCAACATTCTGCTGTCTATAAAAGAATTTCTGTCATTCTCAATGACATTTACATTCCCACCTTAGAAATTAATGATATCAGATTAATTAGTAGAGATCTGGTGCAATAAATTTTACTTATTTTTAATTCTACTAATATTTCCTTGTGTCAGCAAAATCAGTGGAGATAACGTGTGTCGTTCATAATTTGCTATTGTGAGGACTTGGTTGGTCTGCAGTCTTTGTTCTTATGCGTGCGGTCTCCATGCGCTAAGAAGACCAGTATCTTCGAGGTCATCGCGTAGGAGTTGTGAGTAGGAGATTGATAAACTGTTTTTTAATAAAAACTGTGTGCGTCATTTGGCTAAAGTTTAAATCAAGGGGCACGAACGTTGAAGGGCGACTACAAATTACAGTATAGATTTAAAAGGTTTTTATTCAGACCACGTATTGGAAAATAGATTGCTTTACAACAGTGATCCAACATCAAAGTTTTTGTTTATAGCTGTTCAGTTTCGGAAGGCGGTGATGATATTCAACTACGAACCCGGGCGATTCTGATCAACGCATTGTTAGTAATAGTTACTAACCACTTTCGTGAAACGTAGTTTCTTCAGTAAACACGGTTTGTTCCCGAAGAATTCTTCATCTTCTTGAACTGCGAATGCCACATAATATTGAACACACTACTAGGAGACTGCTGCTCAAATCTTATTTGGTAAGAACGTTCTGCAGCGGTCGATGAATGCGTCTCTTCATATACAGAACAGCAAAAAGCACGCGTTTCAGACAAATTCCAGCATTTTCTGATTTTTCGAAAA